TTAGTGAACAAATGAAATATTGGTAAATGAAGATATAGTGGAGTATGGGTTAAAATGAGCAGTTGATTTACCTACAACAAGAAGATTAATGAAGGGTGATAATGACAAGGAAACACATAGGAGGAATTTATTCATAAATTTACACACTTGAAGTAGTTTGATCCCAGAAAATAAATCAGCATTCTTGAAGTCAATAGTTTTAATGCATTGTCATGAAGAGGAAATGTTCATACAACAGATTAAATGATCTGACACAAAATAATAATAAAAAATGTTTAAGAAAAAGTTAAGAGAGTTCATTTCTTACCAAAGGAATATACAGTTTGCATATGTTCCAAAGTAGACAAAGTGAGATAGTTTCAAATACTAAGCTTTCTTGGATTGTTGAGAGAAAATTCTTTGAAGGGCCACACATTTGGTTAGAGACCAATAATATAATTGGCAAATAATTTTATACTGGTGAGAACTTCAACGTAAGTCACAAGGAACTGAAACAAGACCTCTCACATGAGTTCAGACAGTCTTCTCTGATTAATTTAATTTTTCTACTCATTTTATATTAAAAGGAATTTCATATAGGCTCACTACTTTTCTTTCCTTCTTCTCAAATCATCAGTCAACTTTTGTGAAGGCAATGTTTTCATTAGTACAAAGAAAATTTCACATAGGCTCAAGAATTCCTTTCCTGCCTCTTCCTCAGTCCTCCAGATTTGAAGAGAGTGGTTGAAGGGAGTTATTATTTCACAGTCACTACACAATTTAACATTGGTTATCTGAATGATACAGGCATAAAGTAGTTAACTAAATACTACTAAATACTAATTCAGATAATGGATCATGTTCAGGTTTACCAAACATATTTAGTATATAGATAAACATATTTAAGATCTGGAATTTAGTCACAAATTTACGCTTGAAGTATTGTCATTAGCACATTTCAAGAAAATAAATCAGCATTCTTGAAGTCCATAGTTTTAAGCGATTGTCATGAAGAGGAAATGTTCATACAACAGATTAAATGATCTGACACAAAATAATAATAAAAAATGTTTATGAAAAAGTTAAGAGAGTTCATTTCTTACCAAAGGAATATACAGTTTGCATATGTTCCAAAGTAGAAAAAGTGAGATAGTTTCAAATACTAAGCTTTCTTGGACTGTTGAGAGAAAATTCTTTGAAGTGCCCAATGCTGATTAGAAGATGATAATATAATTGGTGAGTAATGTTACACTGGCAAGTATTTCAACACTGGTTGTGAGGAACTGAAACGAATCCCTTTATATGACTTCAGATACTCTTCTGATTAATTTTTCTATACATTCTATATCAAAAAGAATTTTGCAAAGTCTCACTACTTTCTTTCCTTCTTCTAGGTTGTAGTAATCAAAAAAGTGACTTGACCCAAAGAGTTGTGAATTCAGTACATGGCCACGGAAGAGGGAATAGAAACTTGGAGAGTTGAATTACTGAAGGAAATTAACTGAAACCAAGATATTCAAATAAGGCATGGCACAATGAATTAGAACAATCAATCTGTGGACTAAAAGAGTTTGGTTCGAAATTCCTGCAAATATCACCTGAAGAAGGCTAGAGTATACAATGGTTGGAACATTGTGAATATGGCAATAAATATGAGGACAACAGTTTGAATGATGCAAATAGTAAATAGTTACAATATCTCATCTCGGAAATATAGACTGATCCTGAAGAAGGTTGGAATGTACAATGGCTGAAACATCATGAATATGGCAATAAATATGAGGACAACAGTAATAAATATAAGGACAATATAAATAGTGCAAATAATTACAATACTTCATCTCAGAAATACAGAGAGATTTTGAAGAAAGCTGAAGTGTACAAAGGCTGAAACATTGTGAATACAGCATTAGATATGAGGACAACAGTTTGAATGATATAAATAGTGCAAATAGTTACAATACTGAAGAAGGTTGGAGCTTACAATGGCTGAAACGTTGTGAATGTGGCAATAAATATGAGCACAACAGTTTGAATGATGTAAGTAGTGTGAATAGTTACAATACCTCATCTCAGAAATATTGATAAGTAGTAAAGGTTAGAACTGGAAAAGTCCTCTTTAATTATACAGATTTGTTATGCTTTAGACACTGTGTCCATCTGGGGTTTGCATGAATTCACGTGACTGGTTTTGGTGGTAAAATGTGTGTCCCAACAACAGTTTATTTTATTTTTATTTACATATTTTCTTTTATAGTGCATTTAAATCGTAGCTTCACAAAAAAGAAAGTCCTGGTTTCTTTTGCGCACATGTATTAATACTTGAAATTATTTATCGCAAATCAGATTCCCTATTTAAAATGTAATAATTTGATAAAGTTTTAGAATTTATGACATCATCATTTCTTATGTGGAGGAAACAATATGATCGTGTTTTCTCTTCTAAGATTTAGGATAAATATTAGTTTGTGTAATTTAGGGGAACCAATTTTAAATGTAATGTATCATCCGAGCCAAACCCCCCACCAAATTAAATATATCATAACAAGTTATGAAAAATAGGTTGCATGTGACAATGTTGAAAACAAAAGGAAGTCAATTGACAAGCATAAAACTCTACAACTGACCCCAAAATCTAGGCTCTGTGGAAGAAATGTAATATTCTGCACGTGATAGGGTCATTGGGGTATTAACCATCTAGAGTTCTTAAAATGCAATGAAATAATAAATGCACATTAATATGCCCAGCAGCTGCAATGTAACCATAAATGTTTGGTTGAAAAGCACCCTACGTTCATCAATAGGAAAAAAGTTGTTCTTTTCTTTTTGACTGATTGTTTCATTTTCTGCAGCTTATTAACCAGTTATTTAAAATCAGAACCTTTTTTAGATTGTAAGAAGTTGTTTTTTTTTTAAATAATAACCTTTTTGTTAAGCCTTAACCCATAGATAGGTGAGGAGAGATGGATTTATGCAAAAGGTATTTGCACATAAATAAATATAACAAACCCAACTGGAATTGGAACTTGGCCTTCCATTACACCACCTGCACATCCAAGCATACAACACCTGGTATTCCCAAGGGGTCATGCTTCTAAGTACTGACCTGGATTGACATTGCTTAACTTTGGTGGAGATTGTATGGGAATCAGTGTTCCAATGTGTTATGGCCATA